TTCTCAAAGTTAAAGCAGTAAATAAATATATGAAAAAATGTTCAACATCACTGGTCATTCAAGAAAAGCAGATGAAAACAACACTGAGATCCTACCTCATCCCAGAAAGAATGATTGCTATCAAGAAATCAACCAATAACAAATGCTGGCAGGGCTGTGGGGAGAAAGGAACCCTTCTTGGTGGGAGTGCATACTGGTACAACCACTGTGGAAATCAATATGGAGATACCTCAAAGAACTAGGATTAGAGGTTCCATTTGACCCAGCCATCCCTCTGCTGGCATCTTTCCAAAAGAATCATACCACAGTGATATATGTGTACCCATGTTTATAGTGGCACAGTTTGTAATAGCTAAAACTTGGAAACAACCCAAATGCCCATCAAATGGAGACTGGATAAAGAAGATATGGTTTTTCTATAAAATGAAGTACTACTCAGCCATAAAGAATGAGAAACTAGAAAAATTAATAGTTAAATGGATGTACATTGAGGCTGTACTCTTAAGTGAAATAAATAGGACACACTTGAGTAAATACCAAATAGTTTCTCTGGTGTAAAAAACTATAAGTGTAAATAAAATTAAAATAGTATAATTGAGAGTGTGAAATAGGACGAAAATGGCTAAAGGGGAAGTGGGAAGGGAAGGGGAAAGGAAATAAGGGAAAGAAAAATGAAAAAAGGAACAAAGTCTTTGTAAATAGGGAAGGTGTGAAAGGGGTAAAGGGAGGGTAGGGGTATGGAGAAAAAACAAGAACCAAGATATATCACGTAAAGGTACAAGATCCCAATGATAAATGTAACTGTATTGTTCGCTTGAAATGTACGAATAAAATTAATGGGAAAAAGCCAAGGTGACAAAGCTGATGTGATAAACTGATCCTTCTTCAATGAAATACCTAGATAATCTGGGGGCCATAAACAGTACAACAGCCCAGTATGATAGAACACAGTGCTAGGTCAAACAGGCTGTAAGCTCTCACTTGTAAAAAACAGAAGAGGTAGAACACTGGGACAAGACTCAAAAGCCAAAATCCAGCTAAATATAAAAAACAGTTCTGAAAAGTAGCCATTACTTAAAGAAGTCTTGATACTAGTAATAAAACTACCCACCAGAAGCAACTTTCAAGGCTCAATGCAGAAAACAAATAAAAAACAGAAAATGAAAAAATACAGCAGCAAGATGGAATCTAAACACCCAATTCAACCAAATGAGCCCAGGGCACATTGAGGTAGAAATCAAAAGCTACTCACCTGAATTTTATAAAATGGAAGTAGAAGTAATAAAACAAATGAATAAATAACCTAGATGTAAATAAATCAGAAATAATCACACAGTTGGCTAAAGAGATGATGACAATAATCACGGAAATAATGAGTGAATCTAGAGTAGATACAGATTAAAAAACAGTATCTTGGGGAAACCATAAACGCCCAACATAGGAAAGAACAGACAAAATATATAAAACATGTTTCCGTAAAACAGATAAAATGGGATACCCATGAGATTAAAAATTCTATTGAAAGCATATGCAGAATGACCCAACATGAACACAAAATATCAGATCTCAAAAACAATGCTGTTTGGTGTTGAGCAAATGAAGGACTTCTTAAAAATAGCAAGGGACCATGAAAAATCAACAGCTGCAACATGACACAAAGGAAAATAATATAAGAAATATTGCAATCAATGAAAAACCAGAAGACAACACAATGGACATTAAAAAACTGCTCACAGCAGCAATAGTAGAAAACTTTCCACCCATTGAAAAAGAATCTGATGTACATTCAGGAAGTTCTGATGAATATTCTAGAAACAGACAAAAATATATATGCATTCCAATAATCCAATAGAATGAATTCACCAGGCAAGATACATAACTGAACACAGGGCAGAGAAAGGGAACCAAGAACAGAAAAATAATGACAAAGACAAGTCAATATATATCAATTATTATCATCAATGTGAAAAGTCTCAATTCACCAATCAAAAGAAACAGATCTGCAGAATGGATCAAGAAAGGAGATCCAACAATAAGCGCATATAAGAAACAAATTTAACTCAAAAAGAATTCCACAGACTGAAAGTTAATGGATGGAAAACAATATTTCATGTGACAGGAACCTGGAAAAAAGCTGTGCATAGCTATTCTATTTGCAGACAAAATGGATTTCAAACCAAGCTTAATGAAAAGAGACACAGAAAGCCTACTACATACTTGTTAATAAACAATCCAAGAGGAAGAGATAATCATGAATATATATGTACAAAATAACTGTACACCCAAATATATTAAACACTAAGGGATATGAAAAATCAGACAAGCACTAATATAATTATAGTCAGAGACATTAATACTCCACCTGTCACAAACAGATCAACTAGACAAAAAGTTAACAGCTAAATATCAGAGCTGAATGAAATGTTTGAAAAGACAGTAGATATCAACAGTGTTCCACCGAAAAACACTGTATTTCCTAGGCTTCACAACTGTAAATAAATAAATATTTCATAAAATGAATGACCCTAAGGTATTTTGCTTAGGTCCACTGCAATGCACTAAGACAGGATATATAAATATATTTTAGCGAGTGGTACAGTATACCAACCACCAGGGTGGGATCCAGATACCAAAAAATGCATGTTTCCATTTCCTAAGGTAACCTGACAGATGCACATGTCCTGCTGCGTGAGTAGACCTACTTCCTCTCACTCAAAATCACGTAATCACTGCCATGGCTAACCAAGGGAAGTACATGCAATGGATTCCTGCTTAAATGAGTTAGTGTCAGTACATTTATTTGGGAGATTATGACAAAGATGAATATTTTCGTGGAATTCAAAACTAAAGAAACATGCAACATGAAAATTAGTTCCCAGAGACCCAAAAGCATCTTTACATACTATTTTCAATACATCTACTGATAATTCCTTAGGAAGCAGAAAAAAGTATGAACTATCTCTAAATATTCAAGTATTTAAACATTAAGATTTTTAATTCATACTTGAAGCACATGTTCACATTAACCCTAGGGAGCAGGAATGTGTTTAACATTTCGATTTTTATGTTTTCCCTTCTCTTTCTCACTCACCACCATTCCTCTGGCTCGAGTTCCCCTTTTCATCATCATTAATATTATTAACACTATTTAGTTCATGTTTGCCACATAGGCATTGCATTCATTGTGGGAAGTGGTATGTGATATCATATCTTTTTACATCCCTTTCTTCCTATCCTTGGCCTCCTGATACCCTAACTTGCCAGAGAAATATGTGTCCTCAAATATGTTCATTAACAGATGAAGAAACTATTGTGTCTATACTTAATGGTATATTACTTGACTATAAAGAAGGACAAATTCAAGACCTTTATAGGAAAACAAAAATACCTTGAAAACATAATGTTAAGTGAATTAAATCGGACAAACAAGCTTAAGTGCTTTTAAAATGGAGAAATTTTCTGAAAACATATATAACAACTTTCTGTCAAACTGGGATGAAATGCATTTATGACAATGTCAACTGATTCCAAATTATATCCTCAAACATCTACCCTATTTCCAAAGAAACAAATATATATTTCAATAAATACTGAATACTTATACTGAATACTTTTAAGAAATATAGTACCAACTAAATTACATTTGTAAAAATTGAAGGAGAGATTCTGGGCATTTATCATGAAACCACAATCATGTTAATTCTGCTAAATTTAACTGTGCTCATTAAACAAAAAAATCGTACATTGAAAGTATAGAGCACAATTTGCTTTTTATATTGTGAAATTGCTACATTCTTTGGTAGCATCTGTATCACCTAACATAATCAATCACCTTTTGGGTATATGGAGAAAACACTAAAAGCAACTTTTAGCAAGCTGTAATCCTATGTGGCACTGTATTAATTACTGTAGCCACTAAGTAACCTATGCCATTTTGTACTCTACAAACTGCTTTCTCATTAACATCTCAACTTCCCTAGCCACATGTCACAGCCATCACTAAATTCTCTGCTTCTGATAAATTGTCAATTTAAGATGTTAATAACAAGTATGGAGCCAGACATAGTGGTGCACATCTATAATCCCAACTCAGGAGGCTGAGCCAGGAGGTTTGCCACGTGTTCTGGGCCAGCCTGGGCTATACAGTGAGTTCAGGGCCAACCTGAACTACAAAGCAAAACCCTATCTCAAAAAGCAAAACAAAAACAAAAAACATCAAGCTTTGTCTATGTGGCATATTTCACATAATGACCTCTTGGTTAATCTACAGTTACAAACGAAATGTTTTCTTTCAAGACTCAATAAAATTTGATTGTATAAACTTGCCTTTACCCATACAAATAAGGTGCTGGTTTGCAGGTAAACTGTCCCTTAAAGGCCATGTACTGAAAACTTAGATATAAGCTGTGTGGTTATTCTGAATTAACATTATTATGCATTTTTTCAATCTCATCAGTGTTTCAGTCTATAGATATACTGGAGGAAGGTCATCTCTGCTCCAGTGGTTGAAACAATGTATCTCACCCCTAACATGCCTCTGTCACTTTGATATGTACCTCATATTCAGTATTTACACTAGATTTCATGTTATCAGAAGCAAAAATCTTTCACACATTATTTACATAGGTTCTGACTTCAGTGGGTTTTATTTTTCAGGCTACCTAGAAAAAATGGAACTTTCCCATGTTTATTGTCTGCATATGGCTTCCCTCTCATGTGAGAATTTTTTCCTGAACTTGAGTGGACTGAGAAAATAAAACATTTCCCATATGGTTCAGATTCAGTTCTATGTATTCCTTCAGGTATGTAATAATAACTATGTATTGTTTTTTTATATTATATACAAAGAAAGAGCTTCTTTGCACTGTATTCCATGTCAGTAACTTTATATATTTAAAGTTAATTTCCTCTTAAATTTTTTAATGTCTGTTTAGTACTAGAATAATTAAAAGGCTTTTCCATATTGCTTACATACATAGGGTTTCTATACTTTGTGATACCTTGCATGCCTTTGACAATTCCTGTGTGTGCTGAAAGATTTGCCACATTGCTTACATGCATAGAGTTTCTCCACAGTGTGAGTCCTTTCATGATTTTGACAATTATCACGTGTAGTAAAAGCTTTCCCACATTGCTTACATACATAGGGTTTCTCCCCAGTGTGAGTCCTTTCATGTTTTTGACAATTATTGCGTGCACTAAAAGCTTTCCCACATTGCTTACATACATAGGGTTTCTCCCCAGTGTGAGTCTTCTCATGTACTTTACAATAACTCCGCGCTGTGAAAGCTTTCCCACATTGCTTACATACATAAGGCTTCTCCCCAGTGTGAATCCTTTCATGTATTTTGCAAGAAATGTGTGTCCTGAAAGATTTTCCACACTGCTTACATACATAGGGTTTTTCCATAGTATGAGTCCTTTCATGTATCTTACAATAACCTTGAGTCTTGAAAGCTTTTCCACATTGGTTACATACATAGGGTTTCTCCCCACTGTGAGTCCTTTCATGTATTTTACACTGGCTGTGCCTGATGAAAGCTTTCCCACAGTGCTTACATACATATGGTTTCTCCCCAGTGTGGGTCCTTTCATGTCTTTGATAATCACTCTGTGTCGTGAAAGCTTTCCCACATTGTTTACATACATAGGGTTTCTCCCCAGTGTGAGTCCTTTCATGTATTTTACACTGACTCTGCCTGATGAAGGCTTTCATACAATACTTACATACATAGGGTTTCTCCCCAGTGTGAGTCCTTTCATGTATTTTACACTGACTCTGCCTCATGAAAGCTTTGCCACATTGTTTACATACATAGGGCTTCTCCCCAGTGTGAGTCCTTTCATGTATTTTACATTGACTCTGCCTGATAAAAGCTTTACCACATTGTTTACATACATAAGGTTTCTCCCCAGTGTGAGTCCTTTCATGTATTTTACACTGATTGTGCCTAGTGAAAGCTTTCCCACATTGCTTACACACATAAGGTTTCTCCCCAGTGTGAGTTCTTTCGTGCATTTTACAATAATTGTGTGCCCTGAAAGCTTTCCCACACTGCTTACATACATAAGGTTTTTCCCCAGTATGAGTCCTTTCATGTATTTTATAATTATTCTGTGAAGTGAAAGCTTTCCCACATTGCTTACATACATAGCGTTTTCTCCCAGTGTGGGGACTTTCATGATTAGTAAATGAGGTGTCATTATTTAAGGATTTCAAACAGTGTTTATATGCGCAAGATTCTGTTCCACTGTGAGTTCTTTTATGTTTCTGAATATCACGGCGAGAATTCAAAACTTTTCCACAATGTATACATATATAGGTATTCAACCTTTTGTGATTTCTTTTCTGGATTTGAACACAATTGGGTGTATCGAAGGACCTCACATCGTGCTTATATGCAATCGATTTCTTTTCAGCATTACTTGCTTCACTGCAATCACAGTGGGATTTTCCACACTGTTTATATCCACAGGGTTTTTCTTCAGGATTTGTCTTTGCACGTTTCTCAAAGTGCTGAAAGTGAGTGGAGGTTTTCTCTTTCTTCTTAGACAGCTTTTGTTCTGACCCATGAAGCTCATGTGATTGGAGTCCAGTTTTATTTATGATGGGTACAGTTGGCGATGAATGACCAATCAAAGGCTTTCCACATGCAAGGCTATCACCTGCTTTTATACCACGCGGTTTCATGTGTACATTTGTATCAGGAGTCACAAAAATCATTTTTCCATATTGATACCATAAATTAACTACCTTTGCATTTCTGTCAAAGAAAAAAACAAGAAAACAACCAGTCATATTTAAGAGTATTTTTATATTAATGGTTGACCAAGAGGATATCTGATTTGATGCCCCATAAGTGTACTCAATCATGAATTTACTGTACACTCTGGATGATATCTTGGAAACAGTTTTACCAAAACAGTATTCACTCGGGAGTTTGGAATTGATGTTTGCAATACATACTGGTTGCTTTCATTTTGAATGATTTATATATATGTATTATTTTTCATACACTTCCTGCATCACTCTACCCCTTCCCCTTAGCATCTTCACCCTCTCCAAAATGTATGCTTTTCTCTTTTCTGTCATTTGTCCTTTATTTTACTTAATTCATATTATGTATTTATGCTGCAAAATACAACACATGATATTGAACTTCCTGCAGTTGTCTTATTTAAGGTAATGTGGGTCTAAGAACCATCCACATTTTGGCAAATAACACCATTTCATTCTCCTTTATGGCTTTATGGCTGAATGCCATCCCATCCCATACACAACATATTATTTTCAGTGCTGGAGACTGATCCCAGGGTTTAACACTAAACTACGTTCTCAGAATTATTTATCTTTTATTAAGAGACTGAGTCTCATCAATCATTACATTGTCCAGACAGCAGGAATGTGCCTCAGCTTCCCAGAATCTCCATCCTGCCCAGGCTATCACATTTTTCCTTTCTACTCATCTCTGAGTGTGCATCTAGGCTGTTTCCAAAGCTTCACTTTTGTGAGTTTTACTGCTACAAACATGGATATGTATATATCAGTGTAATACGATTACTTTAACTTTGGAGAACACACCCAGTAGAAGTATACCTGGAAAAAGCGGAATTTCTATTTTATGTTTTTGAAGAGCCTCTCTACACATTTCCACAGAGGTTGCACTACAATGACATTCCCACCAACATTTAGAGAAGGTGCATTCTAATGCTGTATTTTGGAACATAGACTAAATGCTTTAGAGGACTGTTTGAAAAAACCTATTATGAAAACAGGATTATGGATTTTTAATAGCTCCTCAAGGTTATCAATGCTGCAAATACTCCATTACATTTAAATAAATACAGCATTACTTATATAATTTGTTTCATAAGAAAGCAGTCTTTGGAAAATATATCTATATGTAATTAGATATGCTGCACTTGGCACTTAACAAAACACAAAAATTTCATATAAACCTATAATCAATGCCTAAATACAATTTCAGGCAATGGTTTTATAATCTTGAATATAGACAATAATTTATTATTATACTTTAGATAGATAATGTCACTTGTGGCATAAGCTCAACATTCCTTACATTTTAGTTATTGTGATATTTCAAGTCAGCATTTGTCAGATTCTAGATACTGAATTTTGTGCAATTAAATAAATCTGAACATGGTCTGGCCTCATTTTAATTTTTTTTTTTTTTTTTGGTACAGAGGATGGAACTTGGGTCTTTGCACGTGCAAGGCAGGAGGTGGCACCACTGAGCTAATCCCTGGCCCTATTGTTTGATTTTTGAGAGGCCTCCCTACATAGTTCATGCTGGCCTCAAATTCACTATGTATCACAAGCTGGCCTCAAACTCCTAGCAGTCCTCCTGCCTCATTAGCCCAACTGTTGGGATTATAGGCACATGTCACCATATCTGATTCTGTATTTTTTTTTTCTTAACATGGACCTCCTTTGCATAGTTTGCTTGGTTTCAATATTTCTGATTTTTGAGGGACATTCTTTTGAGTGCATATTACCTTAGATTTTCCCAGTAATTTTTGTACTCATCTTCAATTCTCTGGTCATCCCAATTTCTTCCTAACATGTAGAAAAAGTAATATAATGATGAGTTACTATATCACACACAATTATTAGCATTCAGTTAGACTCATGGTATAATGTGACAATGCCTGGAAAATTCATGAAAATATTTCCATATTCCAATAAAGTAAATTGTGCTGATGAGGAATAAGCAATATCCCCTGATTGAATAAATGAGAACTGACGTCTTCCTTACCTATAGCCATCACATTCCTAAAGTTTTCCCACATCACATCTTTGTAGAGCTTCTTCTGGGATGGATCCAACAAAGCCCACTCCTCCATGGTAAAGTTCACGGCCACATCCTCAAAGGTCACTGCCTTCTAAATCATCAGAAATATATTTTCAGGAAAACAGTGAGACTCACAACATGAAATATCGCAAATTTACTCATAAAACGCTGAAATGAAGCTGAGCTCCCCCCAAAATGGTTACTTCATGCCTTGGTCATCAAGCACTTATTCTTTATCGACATCACTTGACATGGAGGAATTTTGATCCTAGATGGGAATTCACTGCTAAAGAAACAGAACAGGAATACAAGTTCTCCTGTTGGTTAACCATACTTTTATTTCTACATTTTTGTAAAGCATGGTTCATGGAAAGAGTCTACTAGATCAGACATGGGGTAAAAAGAACTGGGGTTCTTGCTCTGACAGAAAATTGAAAATTTATCTATTTTCATAGTATTATTTAGGAAATAGACCTCTTCCTCCTCTGATTATATTACCCAGCATTGTGAAACTTGAAACTGGTTTCATAGACAAAACTACAAATAAACACAAAGTAAAATTCTGAATGGTAATTTAAAACTTGAATGAAAAGTATTACTGTATTCACTGGAGAATATCTAACAGTGAACTTAAATTAAGGAAGACATATTACATTATAGCTCAATGTCATGAAGTGCTTACCTGTCACAGACATGTAAAACCTTCTAAGGTGTAATAGAAAGGGAAATGTGGTAATGGACCAATCAACTGAATGCCAGGCCCCTGGTCACATGCTAGGGCTATGGACCCATCTCAGGGGGCATGATGAGGCTGGCTGCGTGGCCCTTTCCAGCTATGCAGTGTGGCCCATATGCCCCGCCTGGGGAGAGTCCCAAGACTCACCAATCAGTGTGAAATTGAGGACAAACAGTAATTTATGCAGAAGTACTCAAAGAAGCCACAGGACAAGAGAAGAAAAGACCATCCAGCAGCTAATAGATAACACTAAACAGACCAACCTAAGGCTAACTGGAGTTAGAGAAAAGCTAGAAGGTAACATAGTTGAAATTACTAATGTGTTCACAGAAATCATAGTAGAAAAATTCCCGAAGATAAAAAAAGTTAAAAATAGAAGACTTAGAGAACACCAAAAATGTAGGAGGGAAAAAGCTCACCAAGGCATATCCTTGTTATACTGGTAGATATCCAAAATCAACAACAAAAATTTAGTGCAGAGAAAAAAATTTTCACCTATAACAGTAAACCAATTATAATGATAACAAACTTTTTTTTTTGAGATAGGGTCTCACTATACAGTTCAGGTTGGTCTTGAATTCACTATGCAGGTCAAGCTAGCCTTGACTCAGGGTGATCCTCCTGCCTAAGTTTCCAGAGTAATGTATAACAGACTTCTGAATACAAACCTTAAAGGCACAAGAGCTTGCAGTAATGTATTTCAAGCCCTAAGCATGAATAACTTCCAACCTAGTTTAACTTACCCAGCAACATTGCTTTTAAAATAGGAGAATTAAGGGCATTTCAAGAAAAAGATCACCTGAATGAATGCTAAACCAGCACTTTAGAAAATACTCAAGAATATACTAGATAGAAGCACTGCAGCCAATATAGATATTCTTCATTTAATGACCTACCTGTTGCAGTGAATGTTTGGACTTAAAACTGAGTCATGTTATTTCAGATTTATGCCTCATATTTTTTTCTGTACAGACGTACCCATACTGATAGAGCTGCACAGTACACTTTGTTAATACAGTACTCTAATTTTTACTGAGTATACTGTACAGTACAGTACTGTATTTTTATGTTATATATTACAGTATTGCAAAAGGGTTATGCAAATAAAAGCAAAGTTACCAAGTTGGAGTTCCCTTTGACCATTTCCTTGTCCTGGATATTGTTAAGTACACACTATACAGAATTCCTCACTTAGCACCTCATTCATTTAGCAACCTAATCACAGGAACAGGACTCAGGTATAAAATGAAGAATGCATGTAGCCTATTCTATTTTGGGCATAGTCACTAAGCATCCTGTGCAATTAAGCACAGCATTCGTGAGAAGATGAATGCCTTCAAACTACGTATTATTTCTATAATGTCTAATACCGGGAATGAATAAACTGCCTTATATATTTTGTATATTGAGACAAGCAAAGTAACCTCAAAAAATATATGTTTGTCTTGCTCTGATCCAGAAGGGAGTGATATGGAGCATGGTTTTCTGATGTTTTTGATCACATACCATACAGGCAGAACAGCTTTGTGGAAGGACCAGAAACATTTCTCAGGCACTCTTTCCCTTGGGCTCACTTCCAAGGACTATTGCTTCCAATAATTCTTGGAGGGATAATAAAGCTGATTCATTTGTCATTAAAGAAATTCTCAGATATAAACATACCTTTAGAAGTGTTATGTTTCAAATTTTTGGTATGTAGAAATGTCCCATGTCGTATGGGTGCACATATTTTCTCAAGGTTTATATGTGCACTTGTGCACCACAGGAAACAACTGAACAACTAATTATCAATGTTAGTCTTGCCTCTATGATGGTTTTATGTGTCACGCGCCATTATTTCCGGGTTCTTCATGCCCTGCATGAATTCCGGAGGTGAATCCGCCGGTGACGGTGGTTCACGCCTGCGCAGAAGAGGCGCTTGGCTCGTCAGAATGACGCAGGCCGGCATTGACCAATAGAAATGGGCTACGTCACCCGAGAGGCTATAAAAGGCAGGCTCGCATCCGGCTCGGGGTCTTTCCGCCATCTTGAAGAATGCAGAAGAACCTCCAATAAAGCGTGCTTCAGAAGAATCCTGAGTGTTGCGTGCTCCTTGCTGGCGAGGTGCGCGTGACAAGTGGTGCCGAAACCCGGGAAGCGACGACCATCATCGCCGGCATCAGCGGAGACCCCTGACTTCAGGAGGATTCAGAACTGAGACGCAGGAGGGGAGGATCCACCAACTTTCCGAGAGGTACGCTGTCTGGTGTGGGCGGGTGTTTTGATTTGTTTACTCCAACAGGTTTAACTTTGTCGGTCGCCCACATTCGTAGATAAGGGAGAAATGGGAAATTCAACTTCACAATCACTGGTTTATGCTTTACAAAGCCTTTTGAAGGAAAGGGAGTTAAAAATATCGGAGCAGGTTTTAAGGAGGTTTTTAAAGGAAGTGGATCGAGCGGCGCCCTGGTTCAGCGGTACCGGGTCACTCACGATCCCATCCTGGGAAAAATTAGGAAAAGACCTCCAGCGAGAGAAAGATAAGAATACCTTAAGACCGGGGGTTTTACCAGTGTGGAAGATGATTAGAGCCTGTTTGGAGGATAAGCGCTGCAATGACAAGGTGCGAGAGGGACAAAAATTATTTAGGGAGCATCAAGACAGTGTATCAGAAACGGAGAGGGAAGAAAGAAGTAAGTCTAGACAAAAACGGAGAACAACGGGAGCTCAAGAAGAAGGGAGCCAAATTTCCGGCCCTATTGAGGCCTCAACGGGCCTCTACCCTGCCCTAGATGAACTAAAAAGATTAACATTAGCAGAAAAGGAAAGTAATTCGGAGGGCTCCTCGGAGGACTCCGAGACCGCGTCGGAGTCCTCAGGGGAGCCGCCCGAAAAAGAGGAAGTAGTAAGATAATTCAATTGGCCAAAACCATCTGAGTGCACTCGTTAAAATTGTCTTATATGTTTGTCTGTCTTAAGTGTTATATGTTTGTCTGTCTTAAATGTTCAAAGATGTTTGTATGTTCTTGATCAGAATGACGTCAAATGCAAGTAGATTGTTGATTTCTACAACCTGGCTTTATAGGATCAAATAAAAAATTTAAAAGATATTTAAATACAACCTTCAAGTTTGGATATGCTCCTGTTGGTGAATAAAGAAGCAGCTGCTCAGAAAGTTTATTCTGATCTTTGTTCACTAATGGGAGCCACCAAAATAATTTTTTATAGCCTTATAAAAAGATACATCTTGTTAAATATGTTGTTGGGAATATTGTTGGTTATCAAAGGTCTGAATTATAAATATGTTTCTGATGGTTATTTTCTGTTAAAAAAATAAAAAAGGGGTGGGGGGAGATCCTGTTGATACAAAGCCACATTACAGGATATAAGAATTCATTATAATTATTATTGCTATTTTTCTGGTATACAAAATGTATTTATATTGTTTGACCATGCAGGTTTTCCAGCATATTGTTTATGACAATAACCCTTTGGTCCAGGTATTCTCTCTTCTCTTCTGCTCCACCTACTTATGGTTAGTTCTTTTCACCACCAACAACAGGACCATCAACATCACCACAACACTTCAATGGTCTGCGCAACATCACTTTCGCACCCACTCCAGTTTGCATGTGGCCACCATTTCTTTGGCTTGTGGCTAATGTGACTCTCTCGCAGACTGTGGAACTCAATTGTGCCAATGATACTTGTTGGTACGCATCCTGCTGGGACGCTACCGAATTTCCTCATGCTGTGATCGTCTGAATGCTTCGATTCATTCCTGTGCCAACGGAAGTGACGAATCCCTTGAGTATTGTAAGATCTAAGAGAGATTTTGAGATTACGGCAGCAATAGTATCGGCGATAACTATTGCAGCCGCTGGTGCGACCGCAGCCGCCGTCTCCTTTTCCACGTCAGTACAAACCGCAACTGCTTTGAATAATTTGTCAGCCAATGTAGCCTCTGCGCTCGATATGCAAACCTCTGTTAATGCCCATTTGAAGGGAGGGTTAATGATTGTTAATCAAAGGGTTGATTTAGTGCAAGAGCGACTTGATGTGTTATGGCAATTGGCCCAAATAGGATGTATGTGGAGGATGCCAGGACTCTGTGTTACACCTGTACAATATCATAATATGTCAAGAGCTGCGAATCTATCTAGGGAACTCTCTATATATTTGACATCAAATTGGACGGGACGTTTTGATCAATTGGTTAGACAATTGAGAGTAGCCATTGCTCATGTTAATTCTACCCGAGTAGACATTGTTTTTGCACAAGGTATATCTGATTGGATTGTAAATGCTGTATCTATTCTGAAGGAGTGGGCTGGAATGGGATCAATGATTGCTTTGTTGGCTTTGGCAGTGTTTTT